TTAATCACTTGACTTCTCTGCAGTCTCCCTCCTGCCCCACGTGTGCTCTCCATGGTCCTGGGCAGGCTGTGGGCACTGCTGCATTCTTCCTCAGGGTGGTGCTCAAGCTGCTCCACTCTCTAAGGTAATTGTGAGAGAGCAGAGTGCTGGTGACATTTGGACTTGCTGTATCTCAGTGAAATGCAGTCATCCAAATCTTAGTGGCCTCGGCAGTGCACTGTGTAAAATTTTGTACTTCGCATACACTCACCAAAACTCCACTGTGCCCTTTGCTCCACATGCACTGTTCCTTACTATTTCCTGTAAGAGTTTTGTGGGCATCTTCTACTCACTCATGTTTCCATCACTCATGTTTCTATCATGTGTTCTTCAGATCATTTATAATGATGAGTTTTAGCTTCCTTGTCTGTAAGAAACTAGATTATTTGTCGAAATGTTTTAGCTGTGATTGTTGAGCAGTCTTATTCTTTTACAGCTTGTTAGATTAGTATCTCTATACACACACACACACATACACCTCTGCATTTTGTAGCTAAGCTGCAACACACACACACACACACACATATACACACACATACATACACACACACACACACATTCACATCTCTGCATTTTGTAGCTAAGCTGCAACATTTTCCATAACTAAAAAGATCCTTGTGATTCACCCTTGGTAAATGCAATTTTGAAAGTCTTTTAATTTAGTGTTTTTGGAAGTATTAAGTTCCAAGTTAAAGAATGGAATTTTATTGAATAATTACTGTTGGCATATCTCCTTGTTTTACTAGAATACGTAGGAGACAGTGAACTTAGACCATAACCACCTCCCAGTGAAGCTGGGACCAGATTCTGAGGGAAATTTTCACTAACATTTCAAAGTCTAGAATAGAGTTAGTTTGAAAATGTGTATTTTACTGGCTTTTTTCTTCTTTTTTTTTCACTTTTGATGTATGATGACATTTAAAAGCTTTATTGTTTTTGACAAGTACTCAAGTCTGCCATTTTGTAAATTTCTTTCTTTGATTTCATGTATAGAAAGTTCTCATTCGCTGATAATGTCATGTTTTCCTCTTTTAACACTTAGATTTGTTTGGAAAATTGCCTCATTTAAAAACATCTTTTTAAAGTATTGTTCTTTCAAAGCTAATCTTCAGCATGCTTCCAGGTCACGCTCTGCTCAGTTGAAGAGGGCAGTGCTGTGTAATGCAGGAGATGCTGTTCTGTCCCCTTCCCACCTGGCACTCTTCTTTTTGAGGTTTTTAAATTTTTTCATTTGTTTTATATGAATTTTTAATCACTCCTAACCAAGTTACAGACTTGTTAGCCATTTCTTATAATTGGATTAAACTTCAAACATTGTTGCAGCTTCCTGTTGAGAAAATTTCCATACTCATCAAGTTGCCTTCAATATGGCATGCAATAAATTCAATCACATGTTATTTGAAGGGTTTTTGTAGCTTTATTCCAGATTGCTTCATAGATTTTTGGGATTGTTACAATGAGGCTCTTTTTTTTTTTTTTTTTTTTCCATTATATTTTATTGTTGATTATTCCTAGAATATAGAAAATATTATTTTTAAAATGTCAGTCTTTTCTGTTTCTTTTTTACTATCTTTGCCTCATTTGGGGATCATATTTCATTGGTTTGTATTTCCAGCACAAGATTGATTAGTAGTGCTGATGAAAAATATTCCATCTTTTTCCTGTTATGGAAATGTATCTGATGTTTCATTGTTAAATTTCAGGTCCCTCCCTTTATTTTCAACTTGGGTAATTTTGTCTAATATTCCCAGTCTTATATTCTTATTCCTGCTGTATGGATGTGGCAACACATATACACATATACATACACCAGAGAGCAAATAATGGCAACAGAAATACTTTTGCTATAGCTGGTAAAGAGGCTATGATGGTGGCTTCATTGCTTTAGATTCAGAGAAAAGTGGATAGATTTGAGCTTGGTAACGTTTGAATTTGCTGTGTGCAGGAAGGAATCGAGGATAAATCTTACTGAGATGAGGAAAGGGATTATTATTCTAAATAAATGGGATTATTCTTTTCTTTGGGGAGAAGGTACCTCGAGAAGGGCGGGAGGCAGTCACCTGTGCTCTAGGGTTGCTTCTCGGACTTGGTGACAAAGGGCTCATGAGGCACGTGGCCGTAGTGCTGGGGGATATTGCTGGTAGTTCAGGTGCTGGCGTGCTGATTTCTTTTCATCTAGTAGGATGGACTGGTTTTTGATACCCTTAATTTCCTGTGGGTACTGAAAGATGTCAGCTTTAAAAAGCGGTTCTTGCCCGGCCATTGCAGCTCAGTCAACTGGTTCACGGTTCAATTCAGCCGATCAGTGATTCTCTTTTGTCATTTGTTTCTATCTCTTTCTCTCTCCCTATCCTTTCCTCTTTGAAATCAATGCGGTAGGTGTGTGTGTGTGTGTGTGTGTGTGTATCTTTTTAAAGTGATTCTTAAATGGAGTGAAAATCAGTCACTTACAGAACTTTAAAATTAATATGTTGAATTATATATACATTTTTGGTGTCTTTGTAGTAGTACTCTTTTCTGCTATATCTCATTCCATCACCTTTTGTTGCTTAACAGTAGTGCTTTGAGAGAAAATGGTGTTATTAATGGGACCTGATTTTCCTATTAGTAATAAGTCTAGGGCATGACTTAGCATGTGTGTTAAAAGCACTGCAGCCAGGCTGCCATGACTCAGTGGTTGACCATTGACCTGTGAACCAGGAGGTCAGTGTTCAATTCCTGGTCATGGCACATGCCCAGGTTGCGGGCCCAGTATAGGGTGTGCAGGAGGTAACTGATCAGTGATTCTCTATCATCATTTATGTTTCTATCTCTCCTCTCCTCTGAAATCAATAAAAATATATTTAAATACATAAAAATAAAAGCACTGCATATGCTGATTCTCTAAAGAGAACTGAAATTTAAGCTACTCCCTAAGGACTATCAAAATGCAGCCATCTTCTATGAAGAATTGCTAACTATACCAGGTCCTTAAACTGAGTTAGAAGCACTAAAACTGCCTGCCCTGCCTGCTATAAAGTAATTAGATGATAATATAAAGCAGTAAATGTAAGATTATTGGCTTATATGACTGATCATTAATAGTCTTCAATATCAGCAATTGATTTTTTTTTTAATGCATTTTTATTTATTTCAGAGAGGAAGGGAAAGGGAGAGAAAAGTAGAAACATCAGTGATGAGGGAGAATTATTGACCAGCTATCTCCTGCATGTCCCCCACTGGGGACCAAGCCCGAAACCTGAACATGTGCCCTTGGCCAGAATTGAACCTGGAATCCCTCAGTCCACAGGCTGATGCTCTATCCACTGAGCCATACCAGCTAGGGCCAGCAATTGATTTTTAATTATAGTCATTCGGTGATCTTCAAAATATTAGTTAACTTTTCTGTTGTCTTTCGATTAACTTATGGCTATGCAGGTAAGTTAAATTTTTATGAAGAAGAGAAGAACTGAAATTGTTCTTTCTTGTGTGCATGTCTTGGGTTGAATGTAAACGCTACGGATATGGAAGTATAATAGCAAAGACCTTGTAAACTTGTCTACAATATTTCAGGTTGAATATGAACACCAATTAATGGAAATATAATGGAAAAGACTTTGTAATTCTTAAAAACTTGTTATAGGACCCCAAACAGATACATGTAAAAGCTATTCTAGCCTGGCCAAAGTGGCTCAGTTGGTTGAGCATCACTCTGTATGCACCAAAAGGTTGCCAGTTCGATTCCTGGTCAAGGCACTTGTAGAGAGTTTCTCTATAATATCTATGTTTCTCTCTCTCCCCTCCCTCCTTCCCTCTAAGTATGTCCTCCGGTGAGGATTTAAAAATAAACAGCCCAGCCAATTCAACCAATGAACCAGGAGGTCACTGTTTGATTCCCAGTCAAGGCACATGCCAAGGTTGTGGGCTTGATCCCCTGTGTGGGGCATGCAGGAGACAGCCGATCGATGATTCCCTCTCATCATTGATGTTGCTATCTCTCTCTCCCTCTCCCTCTCTCTCTCTGAAGTCAATAAAAATATATTTAAAAATAAATAAACAGTTCTTCTAAGAAAGAAAGGCTAGGGAAAGATTCCTAATATTCAGGAGTAGGCAAAAGTAGGTTTTACAGTTGTATGTGACAGAGTTTATTCTTGTGTTAGTTATTATTGTGTTTGTATTGCAACTGTAATTGTACTTTTGTCCATCCCTGTATTTCTAATACATTTTCTTAAGTTTGGCCTATTCACTTGCCCTTATCCATCTGCATCTCAGAACCTTTTCCCAAGTCTGATCTCTAAGCCTGGATTGCTTCATACACACTAATATATACATTATTACCACCACATCTTTCCTCACTTGAAATTCTTCTACTTACTGATAAGTTAGGAATTTATTCTTCAGCAAATATTTGTTGAGTAGCTCTTACGTTCCAGATACTGCTCTGGGCTCTTAGGACAACATTGGTGAGCAAAGTGCAGACTTCCCTGCCTGTGTGAGCTTTTCTACGATTTGATAAGCTAGGCTGTGGAAAATGCTGAGGCGTAACCATTGCAAGGTTTTTGTTTTTCGTTTTGTGTTGTTTTTTTGTTTTTTTTTCTTCTTTTTAAGAAATTAGTTCAACGTCTTTTTTTAAATTAATTTTTAATCCTCACCCAAGGGTATTTTTCCATTGAATTTTTTTTTTTTTTTTTTTTTTTTTTTTTTTTTTTTTGAGAGAGAGTGGAAGAGAAGAGGGAAAGAGAGAGAAACATTGATATGAGAGAAACACATAGATTGGTTGCCTGCAACCAAGGTACATACCCTTGGTCAGAATTGAACCCAGGATCCTTTGGTCAAAAGGCAACATTTTATCCACTGAGCCAAACCGGCTAGGGCTGTACTGGCAGATATTAATATCTTGTTGATGTTGAATAGCCACATACATTTATCATATAGCCATCAATTGTTCAAACACTTAATAAATTTTTGTACTTTTATTTTAGATACTAACCTCAACGCTTCCGAATCTCATTATGAAAATTCACAGCGGGGACCTGTGTCATCTTCGAGCAACTCCAACACAGACTCTAAGGATGCTGTTGTAAACAACTCCCCTGAGAAAGAAGCATGGCCCTTGGTCCCTGGCAGTGATCCAGAGTTGGCTTCAGAATGCATGGATGCTGATTCTGCCTCCAGTTCTGAATCAGAAAGAAACATCACTATCATGGCTTCAGGGAGCACAGGTGGTGAGAAAGATGTCCTTCGAAACAGCACTGGACTTGGTTCCCAAAACAAGTTTGTGGTTGGCGGCAGCAGCAATAGTTTGGGTCGTGGAAGTAGTACTGGGCCCTGGGGCTTCTCCCATGGAGCCGTGATAAGCACATGTCAGGTCTCTGTGGATGCTCCTGAAAGCAAATCAGAAAGTAGCAACAATAGAGTGAATGCTTGGGGCACTGTAAGCTCTTCATCAAATGGAGGGGTAAATCCAAGCACTTTGACTTCAGCTAGCAACCATGGTGCCTGGCCAGTATTAGAGAACAACGGACTTGCCCTAAAAGGGCCTGTGGGGAGTAGTAGTCCTGGCATCAGTATTCAGTGCAGTACCATAGGCCAGATGCCTAACAATCAGAGTATTAACTCTAAAGTGGGTGGTTCTTCTACCCATGGTACCTGGGGAAGCCTTCAGGAAACTTGTGAATCTGAAGTAAGTGGTACACAGAAGATTTCATTCAGTGGTCAACCTCAGAATATCACCACTGAAATGGCTGGACCAAATAACACTACTAACTTTATGACCTCTAGTTTACCAAACTCCGGTTCAGTACAGAATAATGAGCTGCCCAGTAACGCGGGGGCCTGGCGTGTGAGCACAATGAATCATCCTCAGATACAGGTTCCATCGGTTATGAATGGCACTTCCCTTCCTCACCTTAGCAACGGGGAGTCAAAAAGTGCAGGCTCTTATGGTACTACCTGGGGTGCCTATGGTTCTAACTACTCTGGAGACAAATGTGCAAGCCCCGACAGCCAGGCTGATGGTGACACTGTGAACACAACTCTGATGCAGCCTGGCATGAATGGGCCTGTGGGCACGAACTTTTCAGGCAACGCAAATAAAGGAGGAGGCCTCTGGGAGTCTGGGCCCACAAATTCCCAGGGTGCATCCTGGGGAAGTGGAAATGGTGCAAACTTGGGAGGAAGTCGAAGAGGATGGGGAACTCCTGCACAGAACACTGGCACTAATGTACCCAGCGTGGAGTGGAGCAAACTGCCTGGCAATCAGCATTCCAGTGACAGTGCAAACGGCAATGGTAAGAAGTTTACAAATGGATGGAATTCTACTGAGGAAGAGGATCAGGGTTCTGCCACATCTCAGACAAATGAGCAAAACAGCATGTGGGCCAAAACAGGAGGTACAGTGGACAGCGAAGGTAGCACAGAGAGCACTGGACGCCTCGAAGAAAAAGTAACTGGGGAGACTCAGAGTAGAGACAGAAGAAGAATTGATCAGCACACATTACTCCAAAGCATTGTTAACAGAACTGACTTAGATCCACGTGTCCTCTCCAACTCTGGTTGGGGACAGACTCCTATTAAGCAGAATACTGCCTGGGATACTGAGACATCACCTAGAGGGGAAAGAAAGACTGACAATGGGACGGAGGCTTGGGGGAGCTCTGCAACACAGACTTTTAACTCAGGGGCGTGTATAGACAAGACTAGCCCTAACAGTAATGATACCTCATCTATATCGGGGTGGGGAGATCCCAAGCCTATTCTGAGGTGGGGAGATTCCAAAGGCTCAAGCTGCCAGGGGGGATGGGAAGATGATTCTGCTGCTACAGGAATGATCAAGAGCAATCAGTGGGGGCATTGCAAAGAAGAGAAGCCCATGTGGAATGATTCACAAAAGAACAAACAGGGCTGGGGTGATGGACAGAAGTCAAACCAAGGGTGGTCTGTTTCTGCCAGTGATAACTGGGGAGACACGTCAAGGAGTAACCATTGGGGTGAAGCTAATAAAAAATCTAGCTCAGGAGGTAGTGACAGTGACAGGTCTGTTTCTGGTTGGAATGAACTTGGTAAAACTAGTTCTTTTACGTGGGGAAATAATATAAATCCAAATAATTCATCAGGATGGGATGAATCTTCTAAACCTAACTCTTCCCAGGGGTGGGGAGATCCTCCAAAGCCTAGTCAGTCGCTGGGTTGGGGAGATTCAGCAAAGCCAATCAGCTCTCCAGACTGGAACAAGCAACCAGACATGGTTGGGTCTTGGGGAGTCCCTCCGGCTCCAGGCAAACCCTCCGGTACAGGCTGGCTGGGAGGACCGATTCCAGCCCCAGCCAAAGAAGAAGAACCCACAGGCTGGGAGGAACCATCCCCGGAGTCCATACGGCGCAAAATGGACATTGATGACGGAACCTCAGCTTGGGGGGATCCCAGCAAATACAACTATAAGAATGTGAACATGTGGAACAAAAATGTCCCAAATGGCGGCAGCCGCTCAGACCAGCAAGCACAGGTGCACCAACTGCTGCCATCTGCAAGTGCCATCTCAACCCCAGAGGCAGGCGGTGGTTCCGGTGAGTTGTTACTTTGTGGAGTCTGATGGTCTTACAGACACTTGACAGGACTATGGGCTTTGTTTGAGCTTACTTTATGATAAGATGTGTTGAACAGTATTTGCTGTGCACACAGATGCCTGCTTTACTCTAATCCAAAGCTTATGGGGAAGAAAAGTATAGGGAAGGTGTTCACCATCAGGCAGCAGCTATGCCTTCAGCAGATTGGAATCTGTTCTCTTAGGAATGCTGCAGAAGGCGGAATTGGAAAGGTGGTGTTGGGTGGGGATGCTGTACTCTTTTTTCAGTTCTTCTGAATCAAGCTGCACTTTTTCTTCTATTACTGGACTAAAATATCCTCAGAAATAAAGCAAGTGTTAATGGCCATGCTCTAAATACTAGCTACTGTATTTGGCCTTAGCAGGGATTTATCTAAGTAGGCATGAAATTCAAATCTATTGGATGCATTGTGTATGAGTGTATGTGCCTGGAACATTTGACAGTGCCTTTCGAGTATATTCCCACTTTCCCTCATAACGAACTGATTTCTGGCTCTGCAAATGATCTTGACAGTGATATTTTCATTGGGTGTCATTGGAATGTATTGTCTTAGTTATTAATTGGATGTGGCGATAGGAGTGTTTTCATGAACTAAACCCCATTTTTATCCTGAGTATAGTTCATTGAATTAATTTAGTTTAATTCTTAGAAGAAACTGCTGAGTATCTAAGGGGAAGGCTGTTTTTTGTGTTTTGTTTTTTTTTTTACAAATATGTTTATGGCTTTCCCTTTCTTTGCTTTGGACAACTTAATAATACTTAGAAAATTTTAAGAAGCATTGTCCAGCACATAGAAACGTAGGGTGCGTTTTTCCCGAATGATATTGATGAAAGGTTACATTTTGGTAAACATTCTATACACTCATTATTACCCAGCATGATAACCTGCTTTAATTCACTAGGTGTAATTCAGACAGGCTTGACTTTTCAGGAATTAAATTTAACTTTTTTAAAGGAGATTACTTGCCATGAATAAGGTTACTGAAAAGAATCTACTCTATACCCAGAGGGCACTTATTGCAGTTAAATTACAATGATGGGAAATGCCTTGTCTTTACATAATACAGACGCCATCTGTTTTGCCCATCACAGCATCAATATAGAATACAAAAATGTGAAGTTCTTCATCTTTTGTTCCCTAAGTATTCCTTATTGCCTCTGATTCCACTGTACTTCCCTGCCATGTGCTGATGACTTCTTTTCCATACTTTCTAAAGGCTGGGGTGAGCCCTGGGGGGAGCCTTCTACTCCAGCCACAACTGTGGATAATGGTACTTCCGCGTGGGGGAAACCCATAGACAGTGGTCCCAGCTGGGGGGAACCCATCGCTGTGGCATCCAACACGTCCACGTGGGGCTCCAGCTCTGTTGGTCCACAAGCGATAAGCAAATCTGGTAAGTGACTGATGACTCCTGGTAGCTCTTTTAGAGCAGTGGTGATCTCATTGAACGTAACTAATTGGATCATGTCAGTTTTTGTTAAGGTAGCAATGTGTCCTCATACTAGATGCCATTCGCTATTTGGCTCTTTGAATTTGTAACATAGTTTGCTCTTTATCTTTCTGTATTTTCCTTTTTTCTCAGTTTCCTTAGAACTGCAACTATTAATGATTTGCATATATTTCACCAAGTCTAAATTATATTTTACCACATTGGGTTATCTGGAAATAGTTAAGTGGCTGTCAGGCTATCCAGCATGAGAGATGAAATATAATAGTCACAAGGACACATATACCAATTGTCTGGCACAGGTTCCAGATGATTCCCTGGACATTATACAGATAATGAGCAAATTTCAGGAAGGACCCGGTATTCAGATTATTGTGTACAGGACACACCATAGAAATTCCAAAAGCCGAGTGTGTAGACAGGATGCTTTCTGCATGGGACTTGCAATCCTTTTGGCCACTCGCCCTGAAAACATATATGAGAGTGAACTCTTCTGAGTTTCATCTACCTTCTTTGTTCTGTGTTGCCATGGAGATTAAATGCGTGCAAACAAGAATGCCGTTACTGTCCTGTGTTTAGGAGACCTTGGATTTGTAAAAGCATGGAAGATTTTTTTTTAGAACTTTTAATAAAAATAAATTCTTGCTTAATGAAACTTTTAACTCAGTATTGCTATGCAAATTTGGGAAGGGAAATAAAAGTGCTTTTATTTATTCCCACACCCTGTTCCCTTACTGTATGCTCAATTCTCCAGAAAAAGTTGTTTTATTAAAATACGTTTCTCTTTATATCACAAATCCACAACCAGGACCAAAATCTATGCAAGATGGCTGGTGTGGTGATGATATGCCATTGCCTGGAAATCGCCCCACTGGCTGGGAAGAGGAAGAGGACGTGGAGATTGGAATGTGGAATAGTAATTCATCTCAAGAGCTTAACTCGTCTTTAAATTGGCCACCATATACAAAGAAAATGTCATCGAAGGTAAACATTTCAAGGGCAACGCCCTTGCAACTTTAAATTCCAAAGGTAGTTTACCCACAGAAAGTTAATGTTCTGCCCATTTATGGCAAACAATATAGTCCAGGCAGTCCCCAACGTAGACATAGCGTCCTGTTTGGGCAGCCACCTAGGAAAATAAGACCACAGGAACTTCCTTTCTCCCCACTGCTACAGCTTGGGATTTCTCTCCTCCTCCCCTCCCACCAGTGCTGCCGGGACAGCCCTTCCCCTAAGGTGCTGTCTGCAGTGGTGAGGAGGAAGAGAAGGGCAAATCTCCATGTTGACTCCCGCATCGCACTGCCAGTTCGTCGCCCATTCCACCTCACCTGGAGTCCTGACTTCCCCGTACCCAGAGTCATCCTCCTCCACCCATTACCTTTGCCCCTTTCCATCCCAAAAGGTTCTATGACAAAAATCCCTAGGAATGAGTCGAGCTCAGTTTTGCTTTTATATGTGGGCAAATCTTATTCCCAGACCTGGCTGTACATCAAAATCATGTGGGATTTGTCAGAAGTACAGCTTCCTGTATCCCAGGCCTACTGTACTTTGGAAATTGAGCCACGTTGCGTGTCCTAGACAAACTTCCCCATGTTTATGTTGCAGAGCCAGGCTTGCGAAGCACAGGTGTAGAGCTCCAGTTTTAAGAGGCGGTGTTGGGCGCTGTGTCTGATTCTCCTGGAGACCGTTTTCAAAACACGTGCCCACTCTCCCAGGTGATTCTGATACATCCTCCCCACCTGCTTGAAACGGTTCCTTTTTAAGAGACCCTAGGAGTCAAGTATTTTGTAGTACAACTACCTGACTGCCAGGGTCCCTCTCTTTTAATCCTGGGATTCTAAGTCTAGGACCTGCCATTTTCATTAAAAAACGTTTTTATTTGGCTGAATTTGCCCATTGCCTTGCCATAAAGCTTACGAAGTGCTTTCCCATATTTTACATAAATCATTTGATCCTTTTAACCTTCAGAGATAGAATATTGATGAATTTGAGACTAGAAAAGTGGTGACTTGCCCCAAGTTTCATAGCTAGTAAGTGCCAGAGCAAGGACTTAAGTTTAGGTCTTCCAGCTCCAAACCCCGTGTTCTTCCCACTGGACCGTGCTGTTTTGTGACTTTGTCTTTCCTTACAGGGTCTGAGTGGCAAAAAAAGGAGAAGGGAAAGGGTGTGTAGCCTTTTTACTCTTTCTCCTTTGTCTCTGCTAGTAAAAACCTTTTAGAAACAACTGCAAACATTTATTTAGCCTCTGCTGTGTGCCAGGTACTGTGCTTGGTGCTGGGGTTCAAATACTAATCTCCGAGCTGCGCCTTCAAGGAGCTTGGGTCTAGTGCGGTCATGAGGAGCTCCCTGAGCTCTCTTCAAGTGTCAGCCTGGCATTGGGACATACCTTCGCGGGGGAGGGGAGGGTGTTTTAAGGAAAATAGTAGCCTGACATGACCAAAATGTAGATTTTTTTAGGAGGTCTGGCTATGTAGTTAGACTAAGGACAGATTGTAAAGGTTTCTCACTACATGCCCAAGAATTCGAACTTTAGTCTGTATAAGTATGGAGCCAATGAAATTGAATATAAGGTAGCATCGGTTTGATTTTTTAAATTAACTTCTTTAAAGAACTTCAGCCAGTGATAGGATGCAAGGTAAATTGGAAGAGGAAAGACCAGCATTAGGGATCTGAGTTGGGAAGCAAGAATGGATACATAGTGGAAGGGACTGGTTTGAGAGACATTTGGATAGGACAGAAGGTCTTGGCAACCAGTTAGTCTTGGGGTGGGAGTAAAAGAGGAAAAGGAATCAAAGACACTTCAAAATCTCACAAAGAGTTAGGTGCTTGCTTCAGAGACCTGCCTTGAGGGGGAAATTAAGCTGTGTTCTGTTCCACAGTCAGAAGGAACAGGTAGTAGCATTGGGGAAGGGAAATTAAGGTAGCAGACGGAATGGTCCTGTGAGCTTTACAGTAAGTGAGAGATGTTGGTCCCTGTGGTTTCTAGGCTCCCTGTCTACCACTCTGCTAACCATGGACCATTCATTCTCTCAACTCACTTTCCAAAGCAGATTCTGTGTGACCCATATCCCAGCCAGCCTCCAAAAGCCAACACCAAATAGGAGGAACCCCAGGTTTAACTGCTGCTGGGGATGGTGTGTTGTTGGCAACACAAATTGAAATGCTGAAATGCTTGACATATGGAAACGTGTTTTTTCAAGTATGGGGCACACAGCATAATTACGTTATGGGGTAAGCTGGCTGTGTTCACTCTATAAATCCAAACTATAATTATCTTTCCCAACACAGTCCATTTGAAAATTAGAAACTGAGCAGTTCTCTGTTATTCTGAGGCCCTTTTTGTGGGTCATGGAGGCCCTTTGCTTCTGCCTTTTCCTTCTGACTGCTTGCCTTCAGGGAGTTCTCTGTACATTACAGCTATACCAGAGGACTGGAGCAAAGGAAGTTGAAAATCAAACAAGTTGATTTTAAAATTTTTGACAACTCTGTTAAGAGTTGATTGGAGGAGCAATTGGCTAAAAATGAGAGTTGAGAATTGTCTTAGTTTATTAATCCACCACTATTCCCAGATAAATAGAAATGGCCATGGCATCTTTCTACTCTTTTATTTCACAAAGGGAATGATGAAGGGTGGAAACAAACAAGAAGAAGCATGGATAAATCCATTTGTTAAACAGTTTTCAAATATCAGTTTTTCGGTAAGTGTGTTCTGTTTTCTTAAATTCTTTATCTTTGAGTTCTCGCTAGAGGTCAGAGTAAAATTGGCCACAGAGCCTTTATTTTTATAGTTTGAGCTGATAAACTGTAGTCACTTACTTAAGAGGGGTTTTTTTATTAGGCAGTGAAAAATGTTTTATGATGCACTTGAATTTCACAAATAATGAAATACCAAGTAAAATTCTTTACTTTTTATTTTCATTGATAAATTAAGGTCTTCTAACAGGCTGCTTTTTCTTAACTTCAGAGAGACTCACCAGAAGAAAATGTGCAGAGCAATAAGATGGACCTTCCTGGAGGTAAGGAAAAATGAAATTAGTTTGAGTTTATATTCATTCTGATGGACAGACATGTCTGTGGCATGGTCCTACTAAAAGTGCACTGGCCTCGGCCACGAGTGGCCATTGGGCTCTGGGTGCAGAGTCGATGTGCGTGTGTGTGTGTGTGTGTGTGTGTGTGTGTGTGTGTGTGTGTTATATATAATTTATGTTTTTTAATCCTCATCTGAGCATATATCCATTGATTTTTGAGAGAGGGGAAGAAAGGGGTGGGAAGAGAGAAATACCTATGAGAGAGAAACATCAATCCTTTCGTTATCCACCCCACCAAGGGGATCGAACACTCAACCTTTTTGGTGTACAGGATGATGCTCCATCCAAGATGTGTCGATATGCCTTTAAATTGCAAATCACTGCAAAACTAAAATAGTGATAACATCAGTCTGAAGTATGGGATTAAAAATTTTTAAGCAGGAGAATAACATGATTTGGATTCATGTTTTATAAAAATAATCTTGGCTGTAGATTGAAGATATCTTAGGCCAGAAAACATTGGCAGCAGAGGACAGACAGAAAGATACTAAACACAGCAAAACCATTAGATATTTGTAGCAATAAAGAGTGAGAGTTTCTAAGCTCCAAACCAAGACAGTAGGTGTGAAGATGTGGGATTTAGAATCAACAAAAGTTGAATTAGTTTGCTGTGGAGGGTGAGGGTATGGGTTTGGTAAAAGGTTATCCCCAGTGTTCTTGCCTGGGCAGTTCAGCAATGGTTGCATTAAGTCTGAGTCTAGGCAGGAGAGGGAACCTACATAGTAACTTGAACAGGGAAAGTTTAATATAAATATAAATTAGTACTGAAATAATGATGGCTTGGCCAATAAGAGGTAAAGAGAAAGAATGTTGGAAGTATTCTACAGAATATATAAAGAGCAGATATAAGGAGATAGCCTGCCCCACCCGCCTCACCCCAGGGCTGGGATCAAGACTCCTGGACATGCCCTAGCTGGTTTGGCGTGGTGGATAGAGTGTCGGCCTGCAGACTGAATGGTCCCAGGTTCGATTCCAGTCAAGCGCACATGCCCAGGTTGCAGGCTCAATCCCCAGTAGGGGGCCCTCCAGGAAGTCACCGATCAATGATTCTCGTCATTGATGTTTCTCTCTCTCTCTCCCTCCCTCTCTCTCTTCCTCTGTGAAATTAATATATATATATATATATATATATATATATATATATATTTTTTTTTTTTTTTTTTTTTTTTTTTTAAACTCTTGGACATGGCCTTAACTCAGTGCATGGCAGAGAAGTCACTGAGGTGTCACCCTTGTGTGACTATTGGAAGCCCACCTTTTAGAGGAATTGTCTCCCTGGAGGCGCTCTGCTATAAAACTGCCTGGGGCTGCTGACAGGAGCTGCTAGCCAGTGGTGAGCAGGCATGGCCGGAGCCAGAGCTGGACCCACCCTCTGCCTGTGCTGCAGGGGGGAGCCCTGGGACCAGGAAGCAGCCTTTCCTCCGACAGTGTCTCCCTGCACCTCTGCTGAGAGCTTCAGTGTCTCTGGCAAAGGAAACAATGTGGAAACCAACTGCATTTCTAAAATGTGTCTACTCTAGGAATATTTTGGTTTTTTAAGAGTTTTTCTTTTCACTTGCCTAGAATGAAGTTTTGTGGTGGTGGCAGTAACAGATACCTCAAAGGATAACAGTTGCAAAGAAATCGATGAGTGAGATTGGAGGACAGAGAAAATAGGGAGAATGAGAGCCAGGGAGACAGAGAAAGGGATTTTCAAATCTGTATGTCTGCTCCGGTGAAGGGAGATCTGGGGAAATGTGCTTGGTGTCACCTGTGAGAGGTTATGCTTATGAGCAGGCAGTTAAAGATGTGGGACTACGTGTAGGCGTGAAATTAAAATAGATATTTGTATTTGAGAAGCACATGCATGGGAATGGCTGTCGATACATTGGGAGCAAAATAGTGAGGGAAGGGCATTTGTAGAGTATACTGAGTTTCTCTGCTTTGACTGAGTCCGCCTTGGCATATCCCAGCATTGAAGAAGCACAAGGAAGTGGACCCAGCTGTGGAGAGAGGGTTCGAAACCAGGGTGGGCATTTGGTAAGGACGTGGAGGCAGACAGCAGCGTCCATGTTTGAAAGATTTGTTGAAGTATGGTAGCTGGCAGCTGGCTGTTTCAAGCAAAGGTGATTTTGCAGGATGGGAGTTTCCAGGAGAGGAGATCCTGTTTGTTGCAAAGAAATCAAAGGAGATTAATGGGCAGAGCAAGACCTGTTTAGCCTCCAGCCTCCTCATCTGTTGGCAGGCGTGAATAGGAGCTGTGGGCACTAGCTTGGAAGGCACAAAGCACATAGTAGAGTGTCTGGCCGTGTGTCATGCTGCTGTTTTCTTATTGTTACTGGAAACTGTTTATTACAAAATTAGCCATACTAGCAATGACCAAAGATGTCTTAGCCTTCTGTTTTCAAGTTACCGTATTTTTCGGACCATAAGACGCACTTTTTCCCCCCCAGAAGTGGGGGGGAAAAGTCCCTGCGTCTTATGGTCCAAATATAGCCTACACATATACTTTAAAAAAAAAGTTTTTTTACTTGCCCAGCTCTGTGTTGTCTCTTGTCTGCTTGCCCGGCTCTAAAATGGTTCTAAATGCTGCTGTTTACTTTACAGGGTTGATTACATGTGTTTATGACTGTGATGTTGGGTTTTAATGCACATAAAATATTTTAGGACACTATTTGTTTCAGAATCTTTTCTTCTTCATTTCCCTTCTCTAAAAACTGGTGCGTCTTATGGTCCGAAAAATACGGTAACTGGTTCAGTAAAATAACAGTGTTAGCCAAGCCCAGCTTGGCTGTGAGGAGCACGGGGTTTACTAAAGACAAGTGCATTTCCCATGTTCTTGTCCAGGCCAAAGATAGGTCAGTTTGGGAAGGGAGGATTTTGCTTTCCACTGCAAATTTGTCTGAAACCAAGTAGATTAATTGTCTTCCTGCTGGATAACGTCATTTCCTGCATTTGTTAGGAATGTTACAAGACAAACGAATGGAGATAGATAAACATAGCCTAAATATTGGTGATTACAATCGAACGGTCGGGAAAGGCCCTGGTTCTCGGCCTCAGATGCCCAAAGAGTCTTCCATGGAGCGCAGCCCTTATTTTGATAAGGTGAGCTGTTTCTTGTTTTACCCCTGGGGCTAATAAACCACGACACTGAATAGCGTAATTTTCTCGTTAACCCTTTAGAACATTTCATGTAATATAAAGTGTTATGATCCAGTGCCAAATCCTTTCACTGGATTTGTAGTTCATTGTCTTTTCTATGTCTCAATTTATCATAGGGATTGCATTTGTATTTTCATCTTAACCCCATAAAATGTGTTTGGTTCTTTTTATGTGCTCTAGAATTAACACTAATCTGATCTCTTCTGTTTTCTGCCTGTTTCCTGTTGATGCTGGAATGTCATGTGACTTCTCTTCTGTTCCTGCAATGATTTCTCCCTTCCACTTGTTTGCTTGGCTGGTGTTGCGCATCTTTCTGTCTGTCCAATCAGGATGGCATTGTAGCAGATGAATCCCAAAACTTGCAGTTTATGTCCAGTCAGAGCATGAAGCTTCCCCCTTCAAATAGTGCACTACCTAACCAGGCCCTCGGCTCCATAGCAGGGCTGGGTATGCAAAACTTGAATTCTGTTAGACAGGTAAGTCCATGTGTGTATTAGGCTCTCTGTTGAATGATTTGTAGAAGCAATAAGCTCTCTCTTAAGTGTAGTTACTGTACTTAAATCAGTATTGTGATGTGGTAATGAGCTGTTGGTCCTGAAGAGCACTGGCTGTTTGTTTTTGTAGAATGGCAATCCCAGTATGTTTGGTGTTGGAAACACAGCAGCACAACCCCGGGGCCTGCAGCAGCCTCCAGCACAACCTCTCAGTTCATCTCAGCCTAATCTCCGTGCTCAAGTGCCTCCTCCATTACTCTCCCCTCAGGTTAATAAATTTCTATGGTATTCCCTTCTACTTACCTGGAAAAGAACCTTGAATAATTTTATAATTGAACTAGAGACACAATGCATGAAATTTCTGCAAGAGTAGGCCTTCCTTCCCCCCGCTGCCGACACCAGCTTCCCTTTGGCCGCTGGTCTTACCTCCTGCTGCCAGCACCCAGGACCCGGGCTTCCCTCACAGAGGGAGGCCCCGCCCACCTGCCACAGCCCACTGGTTGGTGGCCTAGGCCTCCCTCTTTGGGGCGATCGTGGAGGCCCTCCAATTGATGGCTTTGCTGGCCGGTGGCCTGGGCCTCTCTGTGGGGTGATCATGGGATGGTGGCCAGGCCCCCAACCAAGCGTATCGCACCCGCCTTTGCTGGCCTGGCACCAGTGGCTGTCATAGTGTGGTCCTAGATGGTCCTTCTGCTGTTCAGTTGTTTGGTTGATTTGCATATTACGCTTTTATTATATAGGATTAGGTGAATGGTTGATCATGATACATTTTTAAAAATATGTATATTTTATTGATTTGAGAGAGAGAAAGGAGAGGGAGAAAGAGAGAAACATCAATGAGAGAGAAAATTAAGTCAGCTGCCTCTAGCATATCCCACTCTGAGGATTGAGCTGCAACCTGGGCATGTGTCCTGACCTGAAGTCAAACCTTTACCTGTTCATGGGTCAACACTCAACCACTGAGCCACATCGGCTGGGCAGTTGTAATACTTTTTATTGACATCTTTGAAATGCAGCTAATTCAAAGATGTAGGGAAGGTGAAGAAAGTGAGTCAAAGGTAATTTAAAATTTACCATTATATTTCATAAAACTTCTGAAGGGGGACAATAGCAAAGTACGTTTACTGATTTAAAATTCATCTATCTTTTAATTGATGAAAGTATATGTGAATAGTAAGTTAGTAAAGCAGGGAAAACAGTTACAAGGTATATGACATGCTCCCCAAAACAATAGTCTATAAATTTAATTGCTGTGTTGATAATTTAAAATACATAGTACCTATAGCTAGTTTGCATTATTTTACCCCATTATTAACTTACCATTGTGGTTCTCAGGTTCCAGTTTCATTGCTGAAGTATGCACCAAACAACGGTGGCCTGAATCCGCTCTTTGGCCCTCAACAGGTAGCCATGCTGAACCAGCTCTCCCAACTCAACCAGCTTTCTCAGATCTCCCAGTTACAGGTGCGTGGAGTGCAGGCCTGTCATGCGGTGTGCATTCAGTGTGTCCACTGTGGGCTAGACTGCAGGAGGTAGTGCAGTGGGCATACCAGCAGCCATGATTCTCATGGAGCTTCCAGTGTGTCTGTGAAGAAGACGGTGAGCCCAGGGGGCATGATGCTGTGAGAGCAAGCCCAGCTGAGTCAGGAGTGCGGTGGGAGTAGAATGATGAGGAAGAACTTTTCTGATGAAGTGCAAGTTTAGATTGAACAGATCTGCTGGAGGCCAGAGTCCGGGAAGAGATTGTTTGATTAGGCAGGACATGCTGGTGCTGAGCAGATGAAGCCGTGCCTCTGCAGGTGCACCTGCCGCAGTCACTGAAGCCTGATCTGTGATGGCGTGGCACTGACATCTCTGCATTCTTCCCGCAGCGGTTTTTAGCACAGCAGCAAAGGACGCAGAGTCAGAGAAGCGTGCCTTCTGGGAACCGGCAGCAGCAAGACCAGCAGGTAGGTCTGAGTCTTCCCCTCGCCGTGCTGACCCGCCCCTCGTATCGCTTCCATTGTAACGAGACTCACAATGCCTTCCTGAAAACATAATGCAGTCGGTTGTTTACTAAGCCCTCTGCTTGCTCAGAGTTTAACCAGCTTGTACAGGGTGACTGTGCACCTCCGAGGAGAGGGAAGTGGATGAGAAAGTGAAGGGGGATATGTATCTGGAAAGTCTTCACAGTTTTTCCCAATTGTTTTGTCGTTTTAAGGGTCGACCTCTTAGTGTGCAGCAGCAGATGATGCAACAGTCTCGCCAACTTGATCCAAACCTGTTGGTGAAGCAGCAGACGCCACCATCTCAGCAGCAGTCACTCCATCAGCCAGCCATGAAATCTTTCCTTGAAAATGTCCTGCCCCACACTACATCTGAGCTGCAAAAAGGGCCATCTCCAGTAAATGCTTTCAGCAACTTCCCTATAGGTGTGTTTCTCCTTGGCCACACGGTCAGCTGGTGTGTGGAAATCCCCGGCCTGGCAGGGCTGTCTCCTCGTGAAGACAACACTGGTCCTTTATCTGTTCCTTTTTGTAGGTGTAGCCTTTCTTTATGTTTCAGGGAATATGCTTCATGCTGTCTATTTAAGAAAATCACACTGTTTCAAAAACACCACATTCACATTTGCATGGGTTAGAATAAAGATAATTTTTCTCTTAAGAACCTCAGGTATTTTAATTGTAGGATATGAAGAGAAGTGGGGATGGGCCAGTGAGACATTGAGCAGCTGCTTTGATAAAACAGCTGAGAACAGTAGCATTGTAGTTTTCAGAAGCTAGAAATTTGACTATTGTCTAGATATTTATACATGACTAGAGTCCTAGTGCACAAAATTTGTGTGTGGGGGGCCACCTCCCCTCAGCCCAGCCTGTACCCTCTCCAATCTGGGACCACTGGCTCCTAACTGCTCGCCTGCCTGCCTGATCACCCCTAACTGCTCTCTCTGCTGGCCTGGTCACCCCCAACTGCCACCCCTTTTCCCAGCCTGGTTGCCCCTCACTGCCCCCTCTTCCAGCCTGGTCACCCCACAGCCTGCTGTTTGGTCTCCCCTCACTAACCCCCTGCCGGCCTGGTCGCCCCACACGGCCTGTTCGGTCGTCCGTTCGGTTGTTTCTGTTGCATTGATCACTTAAGGTTAGATAGATAGATAGATAGATAGATAGATAGATAGATAGATTATTGGGGTAAATGTAGGAAATGGGGGTTGCCTTTGTCACATTTCCTGTAGCTTTCCCTTCCCTTTCTCACTCTGTCTCCAAGCTTGTACTCCGTCTGGAAATGCCAGGCTTATCCATGTTCCCTTGCCTTTAGGTCCCTTTTCTCCTTATGCCTTCGGTTCTGTTTTGACCCTTGTTTGATCCCATCCTATTCATTTTTACTTTTATGTCTCTTCCCTGACAATTGTTGGTTGCTCACCCTGCTGGTCCAGCTGTGTTGAAGATGGTTTGTTTCCTTGCATCTTCTGGGCTGTGGGCTCCTGCTGCTCCTTCACTCTGGCTTAGCTGATGCAGGATTGGCTCTCACTGGTATTGCCATGGACTGTCAGCTGGGGCCTACATTGCACTTTGAGTCCTGGGGACTGTTCACTGTCTCTCCATTCCCAGATGTGGTTTCCTTGTCAGTTACCACTGCAAGTGGTGACCAGGCGGCCCCAGAAACAACAGTGTATGTAGTAGTAAAAGAATACTCACGGACATTGGAAGGTTTTGTTCTCTCGAGCAAAGGGAAGTGATGCACTGTTTGGTTGCATACTGGTCATATATATTGGGCTAGTGAGGAGGTAACTGTACAGTGGAATCTTGTTTCTCAAACATCTCCCATCTCGAACAATTCACTTCTCAACCTGACAGTCCTTTCATGCAGGTGCCTGTATGATCAGCCACTGACCTCTCAGGTGAGAAAGGAGAGAATGCACAAATATGAGTCGGGTTAGCACTGTTAACATCTCAAGATATTGTGCTGTGATTATTTTTGTGTTTTGTTGCTTTTGTTAAATTTTCATTTTTTTACTGTACATTTTCCTTTTTGTTAAATTTACATTTCATGTTCTTTTTGTTTTTAAAGTGTTTATAAATTAAACATTACAATAGACATGTACAGCACATGAGAAAGGTTAAAATGGGGGGATATTTGGGGACCTGGAATGGATTAATTCAATTTACATTATTTCTAATGTGAAAAAAAATGATTTGGTTTTCCAACAGCCTTCCGGAACAAAAGTAAGTTCGAGAAACAAGGTTCCACTGTATATGGATTTCCTGTCCAGGCTGGCTTCACAGCTCGAATGCTTTTTCCTGATTAAAAAAGTCTACTTAGCTTATGCAAACACCAGGATAGTTCTCTAAATCAGTTGTGAAAAACTAGAGCCTGTTGCCCAGATTTGGCCAGCTGCCTAATTTTGTAAATAAAGTTTTATTGGAACACAGTCCTGCTCTTTCGTTAATGCATTTTCTGTAGTTTTTGTGTTGTAACAACAGTAGTATAGAAACAGACCTTGTGGCCCCAGAGCCTAAGATATGTACTCTCTGAACCATTAAAGAATTTGCCTCACTTGGGTTTAATTGACCGGTCCAGAGAATAGCAACTGTAATTACTCTTTTCAAAAATAGATATGATATTAGAGAATTTGTGTTAAATTTCTTAAGTCTGGCTGACCTAATATCCCGCAAACTGTCATGAGACCAAAGTATTTAAAACCATTTGTTTTTAAAACTTTAGGATAACCAGCTATATGTGTGTTAAAAATCTGACTTCATTTTTGATAAGCATCTCAGATGATTCTGATGTTGACTGTCCCCAGATCACATTTTAAGAAACATTGGAGGAATAGGTCCGTTTTCTGACCACAGTACTAAAGATGGACATTTCCATCCTTGTTCCATGAGATTGATCCTGACATATCATTGTTAGAGTTGTAGAAAATTGCACCTTAGAGTATGGCGCTCTGGTCTTGAGGTGCAATTGTTAGAGCAGAACAGTTCTTTTGTTTGTTTTTTATTTAATTACTAGAGGCCCTGTGCACAAAATACATGCACAGGGAGGGTCCCTAGGCCTGGCTGGCCATCAGGGTTGATCAGGGCCTTCCAACTGCCAGCCGGGGCCTGCCTTCGCTCCGTGCCACCCCCTGGTAGTCCACACACGTCATGAGCTATCAAACTCCTGGTCAAACTTCCCCTCAGGGACACTTGGCATATGAGCCTTTTATATATTTAAATATATTTTTATTGATTTCAGAGAGGAAGGGAGCGAGATGGAAATGTCAATAGTGAGAATCACTGATTGACCCCTTCTGCACACCCTCTCAACCTGGGCAAGTGCCCTGACAGTATTCTTTGACTGTTAAACGAGTTGAAAATTACTCAGTTTGCAAGCAAAAGTTAGCAACTGAAAGTGATCATATATAATATTTTATGCATGGTACTCTTGGAAAGTAGCTAAAGAGAGATATCTTATTAGAGATAAGCTTATAAACTTCAATATTTGGCCTCCTTAAATTTTTTTCTCTTATTCTGCCAAGGAATCCTATATGATAATCCTATATAATAAAAGGGTAATATGCAAATCCGAACGGTGGAATGACCAATCGCTATGACATGCACTGACCACCAGGGGGCAGATGTTCAGCACAAGAGCTGCCCCTTGGAGGTCAATGCACTCCCACAGGGGTCGCACCACTCATCCAGAAGTCGGGCTCATGGCTGGCAAACGCAGTGGCGGTGGCGGGGTCCCGCCTCTGCAGCAGCGCTAAGGATGTCTGACTTCGGTTTAGGGCATCCTCCGAGAGCTCCCGGACTGCTAAGGGCACAGGCTGGGCTGAGGGGCCTCCCCTCCTCCTGAGTGTGCAAGTGTCATGCACCAGGCCTCTAGTTTAAAAATAATCAAAATTATGTGGAGAAATAGTTTCCCACAGATAATGAGTGCAGTTTTATAATAGTAGCAGTTTTATGGTTTGAAAACGTATTATTGAGTATCTGCGTTGCGCCCTTTGGGAATCGCACTGTGGCTTTCTCCCCACACTGTCTGCATGACATTGGCCAGGGACCGAGTGTTGGTTCCACCTGGCTGGCCTTGGTCCGATTATTTGGCTGTGTCACATTTGCAGGATTCTTTATTAAGGAATTCAGGCAAGATTAAAAACATTTCTTTAGTTTTTCTAGGAAGTGGAACTTATACAGGAAGAAGAACATGCTATATATTATAAACTTTTGTATTATTATTTTATTTTTAAGGCTTGAACTCAAACTTGAATGTAAATATGGATATGAACAGTATTAAAGAGCCACAGTCAAGACTAAGGAAGTGGACTACAGTGGACAGCATTTCTGTGAACACATCTTTGGATCAAAACTCCAGCAAACATGGTATAAAATGCATTCTTATTTTTTTAAAAACTGTGGAATATTAACTTTAGGTCTTTATTTTAAATACATATTTTTAAAGCTAAGTCCTCTTAGAACCTATCCTCGTTTTTAAAAGTGCTTTATTAATCTCAGTTGAAACAAAAAAGCAAAATTAATCTTTATTATGTTATAAAAAATAAAAATCAGATTATACTAGTTTAAAAAATATTTTCTTTTCGATGGTCTTTTAGTCTTTTGCAATTGATTTTATTGTTCTAATGTTCTATTTGTTAACATTTACACAATTTATTGTGATGTAGGGTACTAAACACTTGCACCATAATTTGATTTCTAGCATTTTCTTTTTTTTCTTTCTTTTTTTTTAATATATTTTATTGATTTTGTACAGAGAGGAAGGGAGAGAGATAGAGAGTTAGAAACATTGATGAGAGAGAGTCATCGATCAGCTGCCTCTTGCACACCCCCTACTAGGGATATGCCCACAACCAAGGTACATGCCCTTGACCGGGATCGAACCTGGGACCCTTCAGTCCCCAAGCCGACGCTCTATTCATTGAGCCAAACCGGTTTCGGCATGATTTCTAACATTTTCTTATATATTGACACATTTTCTTTATATATTTGTTATGTGTAAATCACATAGATTCAGAATTCTTTTCACCAGTTACAGTTTTAAAATATTTTCATCTTATTTAATATCCATTCATCTAGCCACTGTAAATAGACTACCTTCTGCTTTCCCAGGACTGTTCCTAGGAAAGCAGAAGGTACATATACATAGGTGCATATGTACATACACAGTTGAATATGTAAGCAAGTGAAAAAGTCAGAACCAAATGGAGGATTTAACAGGGAAGTGACAGTGATGGGGATGGCTTTAGAGAGACTCATCATGGGTGAAGCCTGCAAGTTCATCAACTGAATAAGAGCGAGAACAATAAAGAATGTATGTAGCACATGAGCTCTGGCTGGTGTGTTCAGTGGTTAGAGCACTGGCCCACGCACCAAAGGGTTTCAGGTTCACATCCCACCCCTGTGGGGGCTCGTGCAGAAGGTATCTCATTCCCTCCCAACCTCCCTCCCTCCCTCCCTCTCTCTCTCTCTGTCTCTCTCTCTCCCTCTCTCTCTCCCTCTCCCTCCCTCCCTCCCTCCCTCCCTCCCTCCCTCCCTCTCTCTCTCTCTCTCTCTCTCTCTCTCTCTCTCTCTCTCTCTCTCTCTCTCTCTCTCTCTCTCGCTCTCTCTCTCGCTCCCCTTCCCCCGCCCTTCCCCACTCCCTAAAAAATACAAGTAGCTAGAAGAGGAAGCCAGAAAAGAAGGGAAGGGAATTGGTGGAATGACTGCATCAGGTCAGGGGCAGGTCATGCCCTGCCGAGTGGCATGGGGGCCTGGCGAGGTCCTGCCCGGCCACCCTCAGTGACTGGCACAGGAACTTTGGAGGCTCTGACCTGCCTCCAGGGAACCTGTGTTTCACTGGAAGCTCCAGCTAGAGCAGCTCAGGTCCATGAACCAGAGCTTCTCCCAGCCATGGAGACTCAAGGCTAGTGGCCGGGTCCTGGCTCTCCTTTCTCACCCTTGCCCTTCCATTCAATAAATTGTGCCTCCCTCCTTCCATCATGTTATTGAAGCTGGCAACTTAGAGACATTCGCTTTTTAGTCAATGTTCATTGAGATAATTTACAGATAATACAACCTTTTTCGAGGTGAATGATTCAGTGGCTTTCAGTATATTCTCAGAGTTCTGAATCCATCACCACAGTCAATTTTCGAACATTTTCTTGCCCCAGAAGAGCCCCTCGGCTATCACTTGTCCGTCTCTCCTAGCCATAAGCAAAGTTCAACTTTCTGAGCTTGTACACTTGTCTATAATGTGCATTTGGTGTAGGTGGTGGCAGGTGCTATCTGGTCTTGTGAGTAGCGTTTTGGCTTAGCACGGTGCTTTCAAGTCTCATTCCTGTTGCAGCATGCCGAGGTGCTTCATTCCTTCTTCATTTAACAGTAGACAGCTGTTTGGGTCCAGGAGGTTTTCTTGAGTTCTTTCTTGCTCCCACCTCCATATCCAGTCTACCTATGACGAGTGCCCCTTCTACTTCCCAAATGCAGGGTGCACACACCCATGTGTTCCACTGTCTCCTGATGTCAGCCACTTCCGTGCACACCTGCCTTTCAGGGTCCTGAAACATAGCCCCAGGCTCACTTCTCTTAAAACGCTTCAAGGTGAGGTCCTCCTTGCTGTGTCTGATAGAGTCCTGCATGAGCATGCTGCCTTCCAGGACTGCTGGTCTGCAGCAGTGAGGCCTGGGGCAGCTGGAGCAAGCACACCACCCCTGCCACCTTCCATTCCAGATGTTTAGAACAGCAGACTCTGGCATCCCTCCCTTCAAGATCAGAACCCCATCCTCCATGTTGCTCACAGATGGTCTTTCAGTTCTCAGACTGCTGCTCTGTTCCTCTCCTCAGGTCCTTACAGACCGCACCTGCACCTAGAATCCCACCCCAACCTTTTGCATGAGGGCTCAGCCCCTCCTTGCCTTATGCTCTGTCCTTCTGTTGCTGATCACTTGTTCACCTCTTTGTGAGAATCCATTGTCATTAAGGGTGAGGACTCCATTCATCACACTCAGCTTTTCGTGTCCAGCATTGAACAGAGCACCTGACCTGGCCTCAGAAAACACTGGTTGCCACTGTGTAAAGCATTCCTCATTCTAAAGTGAGCTCAGGGATGGGCGTGGAGGATAGATCTCAACATCGACGGTCGTTTCTAAGTGTTAGCTGTGTTTTGATGGGCTTGCACACTTGTAGTAACAGATACCAAGTATTACAGATGTCTCCCCCCCCCCCCCCCCCATTGACCTCCCAAGCCGCTACCAACTCCCAGCACATGCCCTTACTCCCTCTAATGTCTGAGTCCTTCGGTTATGCTCAAATGCATGCATACAAGTCCTTTGCTTGAGCTCTTACTCCCTCCCCCTGTCTTCCTTCTGAGGTTGGATGGTCTGTTTGATGCTTCTATGACTTTGGCTCTATTTTTGTTCATCAGTTTATGTTGTTCATTATATTCCACAAATGAGTGAGATTATGTGATCTTTATTTTCCTCTAATAGCTTAATTTCACTTAGCATAATGCTCTCCAGGTTCATCCATGCTGTTGTAAGAGTTCCTTCTTTTTTACAGCAGCATAGTATTCCATTGTGCAGATGTACTACGGCAGTGGTCGGCAAACTCATTAGTCAACAGAGCCAAATATCAACAGTACAACGATTGAAATTTCTTTGGAGAGCCAAATTTTTAAACTTAAACTTCTTCTAATGCCACTTCTTCAAAATAGACTCACCCAGGCCGGGGTATTTTGTGGAAGAGCCACACTGAAGGGGCCAAACAGCTGCATGTGGCTCGCGAGCCGCCATTTGCCAACCAACTACGGTTTTGTAATCTACTCATCTGACGAGCATTAGGCTGTTTCCAAATCCTAGGTATTGTAAATATTGCTATGAACATAGGGGTGCATATGTCCTTTTTGATGGGTGTTTCTGATTTCTTAGGATATATTCCTAGAAGTGGGATTACTAGGTTGAATGGGAATTCCATTTTTAGTTTTTTGAGGAAACTCCATACTGTTCTCCACAGTGACTGCACCAGTCTGCATTCCCACCAGCAGTGCACGGGGATTCCTTTTTCTCCGCATCCTCGCCAGCACTTGTCGTTTGTGATGTTCTTGACTGTAGCTCTTTCCCCCCCCCCCCCCCCCCCAGTACCTCTCACTCACCCCCAGCAGGAATCCCACAAAGGGTGCACTGTGCTTGTTCTCAGCTTAGGCCTCAGTATGAGTGTCTTCATGACTTGGCAATAATTTTGTACTCTTATCCTGACAGTATCTCTCAGCTGTGCGTCCTCACAACCACAGAGCACAGGACAGACCTTGTTCTGTATTTTGCTCCCATCTCATGGTCATCGTTCTCTTTTTAGGTGCTATTTCAAGTGGTTTCAGGCTGGAAGAGTCTCCGTTTGTTCCTTATGACTTCATGAACAGCAGTACTTCGCCAGCCAGCCCTCCAGGCTCAGTGGGAGATGGCTGGCCACGTGCCAAATCGCCCAATGGCTCTAGCAGTGTTAACTGGCCACCAGGTAAGATGCCAGCAGCTTCCGTCATGACTTAGTACTGATTTAGCCCAGTTCTGGCTCTTGGGCTGAGTGCTCGTACAAATGAATGTCGAGGGACAGTGAAGTCGGGTATCACATCGGCCCTGTGGCCCGTGCCTTCTGCTCCAAGCAGTGAGAGTGGGACTGGCCCACCCCTGGCACTCAGGCCCCATCTTCCCCTGTGCCAGGGACCTCCGGGCAGCATCTCAGCTGTGCCGCGGTGTAGGCAGAAGCGCTCCTGTGGCCTGCACACCTGCTCAGTTGCTGTGGCTTGGTGCCTGGTGGTAGAGCACCGTAGGACGTTGCTGTTTGAGGTGTACAAACCCAGAGCATTGGTTCCTGTTGTAAGAACCTGCACGTAAATAACAGCCTGTGCGCATCTCATTTTGTTAACGAATCAAAATGCTTGTGATTTTCATAGGTCTTAGGAGTATTTTACATTATTTATTAGGTCTAGTAATAATTAATGTCGTTTTCTAATACTTTTTTAAATCGAATTTAAACAACAAAATTTAATCAACAATAGAGTTGCTGTTGTTTTCTACTACTTGTGCCCAACGCTCAGGAAGCATTTTAATCCCTCTCTTGTAAAATTCTTGTGATTTTGATGCAAAAAATTCGGTCAATGCATTTTTGAGGCATTCTTCATTATTAAATTTTTTTCCAAGAAGAAAGTTTTGCAAAGAACGAAACAAATGGTAATCGGAAGGGGCAATATCAGGAGAATATGCAGGTTGAGGGAGAACTTCCCATTCCAACTGGCGCAGTTTTGCAGCAGTGATTCTTGCAGTATGCGGTCATGCGTTATCGTGGTGAAGAATTACGCCCTTCCGATTAATCAGCGCGGGTTCTTTTTCTCTTAAAGCTTAGGCTAACCTTTCCAATTGGGCACTATGCACTGCACTTGTAATGGTTTGGTTAGTCACATGTGTCAAACACAAGGCCCGCGGGCCAAATCCGTCCCGCCAGGCCTTGCAATGTGGCCCGCACCGCGCTGTCATCACTGCACTCCGCTGCGTTTCCATCACAATGACAGTTTATGACTGTTCAGTAAACCATTCGGCCCGCCATTTAGGCTGGATTTTAGATTTTGGCCCCTTCTCTGATTGAGTTCGACACCCCTAGGTTAGATGGTAAAAGTTCATAATGAAGAATTCCTTTAAAATTCCACCAAACACACAAAATCACTTTTTTCGCATGCAAGTCAGGTTTTGGCGTGGGCTGCGGAGCCTCACTTTTGTCCAACCATTGAGGCCGCCTTTTCAAATTAACATACAGCACCCATTTTCCATCTCCGGTAACAATTTGCTCTAAAAACAGCAAACGGTTTTGACTAGAGAGGAGCGAACTGCAAATTGTGACTCTTTGATTACGGTTGTTGTCGGTCAACTCATGAGGAACCCATTTTCCAAACTTTTGGACTTTGCCAAGTGCACGCAATTGATTGGAAATTGTTTTTTGTGAACAATTTAAAGTTGTCGCAAGCTCTTGTTGGGTAATTTGAGGATTTTGCACCAAAAGAGCTTGAAGAGCTTCTTGATCAAAATTGGACACACGGCCTCGACCACTCTTGTCATCTAACAAAAAATTTCCCTCGCGAAATTTCTCAAACCAACGCTGGCATTTTCTGGCGCTAACTGCATCTTGACCAAGAGCACTACAGATGTTTTTTGCAGCCTCACTTGCTTTTCTTCCTAATTGGAACTCTTAAAGCATGCAGTGCCGAATATGCTCTTCATCCGCCATCTTCTTAGCCCTAGTTTTGCAACAAAAACCAAACCAAACACAAACTTTTTCAAGCAAAACTTGTTAATTGCACTTCACACATTCTGTAGATACCACGTGTTTGAAGGTTATGTCAATACAAGTCAACGCCAAGCAAGATTTTAAACGAATGTTTAAAAACGACATTAATTATTACTAGACCTGATAATGTGATTAAGCCTGAACTAATTTAAAATTTTCATTTCCAGAATTTCGCCCTGGTGAACCATGGAAAGGTTATCCAAACATTGACCCAGAAACTGACCCTTACGTCACTCCTGGCAGTGTCATCAACAATCTTTCAATTAACACTGTGCGGGAAGTTGACCACCTCAGGGACAGGAACAGTGGTATGTAGGCGGGGACACTTCCGCTTCTGGACAGCATGGTGTAAGCATGGCTCAGAGTAGGTGTGATGCCTGCGCAGCAAGATCCCCGCACATCTCAGACCCTGACGCCCAGGGAATCGGGCAGTGGGAGCAGAAGGGTCTCATCCCGTAGGCAACTCTTCAGCACTTTTAAGTGAGAAGGATTTGTTCTCACTGGATCTAGTAAACACACAGGTGCAGTTAACGAAGGCCCAGCAGTTATTTGGTTTCCAGTCATTGTATTCCAGCTGCAGGTTGTTGCCTCCTTTATCCTGCTGTGGCTGTTGTGGGTATTAAGAAATGGGTGTTTTTTGGAAAAGCTGTATCTTCATTATTATTTATTTATACACTCTGAATATTAAAGGACTGTCATCTGGAAAAGCAATTTGACTTTCTGTCTTTCAGAGAGTGGAAATAATACCAATTTTAAGGATCCCTATAGTCCAGATGCACTTTTTAATGTGTTATCAAATAAAATCATCCTACTACCAACATGTGGTTGTATTTATAGTATTTCGTGGGTGCACTGGAAGGAAGGAGAATGAAGTGAGAGTATTTTCCGTTCTTGTAACATTTATCCTTCCACCTGTCCCTTTAAACAATTTTTAATAAAGAAAATATGCGCCAGTCTGCATCTTATATTAGGCGTGTCATGGCCAGCAGGTGTTGCCATGTCACAGTGGTGAGCACAGTTGGGCAGACAGCTCTGCAGACGTAGGTAGAGCCATTACCTTCCCAGGGGAAGGAGTAGGGACAGCCACACGGCATCCTCCTGTCGTGGTGGCTCATGGGAGATTGCTCCCAGAGATGGCGACTTCTTATCTTTGGGAGATTCTGAAAGTCAGGGGGGGTGAGTTTTGATATTCAGAGAAACCACTGAAGGTTTTGAGTGGAAGAGTCAACCTGTATTTAAGGTGGGTGAACAGGTGGATTGGGGTGGGAGACCCACCACGAGCTGTTAGAGCGATCAGTGGTCAGTGGAGCTAAACTAGAGAAAAGGGTAGGGGCTAGGTTTTGGAGACAGCTCTCAGCATGCTGTTTTGAATAAGAAGGGGCAGTTTTGGGTAGGTGTGTGAGCCTGAGCATGCCTGTGCTTTCTCAAGATGGCTGTGAAGTTGCCATTTTGCTAGGTGCCTTTGCTTGTTCTAAGACATCAGGTCACTTACCCTGGGGATGACTAACTGGGCTCTTCCCCCACATAGGGTCATCCTCATCCTTGAACACCACGCTGCCTTCAACTAGTGCCTGGTCATCCATTCGTGCCTCCAACTACAACGTTCCCCTCAGCAGTACAGCACAAAGCACTTCAGGTGGGCGGGGCGGGGTCGTGGGGGTGGGCACTGCCCTGTCTGCTGAGACCCCTGCTCTCAGCAAGCTCTCCGCTCTCCGGGGGAGCAGTGCTGTCTGTTCGCCGCACACCTGCTTCCGTGAGGCCACAGCCAGGAAATTAGCCTTCTCTCGCTCTTTTTTTATATATATATATATTTTTATTGACTTCAGAGAGGATGGGAGAGGGAGAGAGAGAAACATCAATGATGAGAGATTCATTGATTGCTGCCTGCGGGTTCTGGGGTTTGGAGGTGAAGGAGCACTTTCTTGGCTTTTTTCTTCAGCAGTTTGGTTTGCTTTAGGGGTTTTTAATAATCTCACTTTGTTTGATTTGGTTTCAGGGGGAGAGTGGATGTTATTATCTAAATTTGATCTTTTCTAAAAGCATTGTCTCCCCCCTCCCACTTTTTGTTCCCTTTGAGTAGCCAGAAGTAGTGATTCCAAATTGACGTGGTCTCCGGGGTCAGTCACAAACACCTCTCTGGCCCATGAGCTGTGGAAGGTCCCTTTGCCACCTAAAAACATCACTGCTCCATCCCGTCCACCTCCGGGGCTCACTGGCCAGAAGCCTCCCTTGTCTACGTGGGATAATTCTCCTCTTCGTGTAGGTGGAGGATGGGGAAATTCTGACGCCAGGTATACCCCAGGTAAGACGAGGTGCCGGGCACTGGCCAGCACACGGGCTGGGGCCACACAGCGCGCTCCCACTGCGCGCTCTCCGCGGTCTCCACGTCATCCGCTCACCTAAGAGCACTTGGCAGACGGTGGTCAGTGAGTGGAATGGGGCTCCTTTCTTTGAGAAGCTCCTCACCTGCTCCTCTTAAAAATGTGCGGTAATTTCTCCCTCCTGGCCGGCCCTCAGAGCACACCGCGTGTGGCACAAGGCAGAAGCTGCCACGGCAGGGCCGGGAAAGCCTGGCCTTGATGTAGGGGCTCATAAAATCTATTGCGGGGTTTTTGTTTTACATATATATATATATATATATATATATATATATATATATATATATAAATTTTTTTTTTTTTAGAGAGAGGGGAAGGGAGAGGTATAGAAACATTGATTGGTTGCCTCCTGCACAACCCTCACTAGGAATCGAGCCCACAACCCGGGCAGGTGCCCTGGCAAGGAATCGAACTGTGACCTGGTCCATAGGTCAATGCTCAACCACTGAGTCATGCCAGCTGAGCTAAACTGAGACATTTGAGAGGGACAGGGTGCTGCTGGTGAGACAGCCAGCAGGCATAAAGCAGACTGTCTTAGGAAAGGGGCAGAGGGCGCTCCTCCTGCTGCGCCTGCACGTGACCAGCTCCCCAGCAAGCCCAGGTTGGACTCAGAACTTGTGCCGGTTCTTACTTCCTTGTGCCCTGCCCCCGGGCTGTACCAAACTTGGTCATCTCCAGGCTGAAAATAGTAATATCTCAGGGATTTCTGATCTTTAGACAGGTGACTTAGTGTGTTCCTTTGGGGGAAGTTTTGATTACATGAAAATACTTGAGTCTGTTTTAAGCTACTAAATGCAAATTAATGTATTGGGTGTTGTGTGTTCCTCCTGGCCACAGCCACCTGGGGGCCAGCTCCTCTCAGTGGTTAGTGTGGTGTGAGGGGAGGAGGCTTGTGGAGCTGAGTGGGACCAGGAAGCCAAGCCGAGCAGAGGGAGCAACATAAGATTCAGCGCTGGGACGCACTAGGGTTCCCTGTTGGTCTTGAAGAAGGTTCGGGAGCCGTGAGTGGAGCTACCTCCCGAGCGGTAGGGAGTGTTTGTGAGGCACCTGGGAGCAGTGGTAAACGGCGCTGACTTGATCACATCTTCCAGGTCTGCTGCAGGGAGAGAGCAAAAGCAGGTGGCATGCCCCCGTGGGGACCCAGACAGAAACGAGGCTGTCTGCTCAGGGCTCCAGTTCATCAGAGGACACGAGAGGCCTTCCCCAACTGGTAGTCTTCTGAGACAGCGTTAGCTTCATAATGAAAGTATCCCCAAGGGAGGCCTGCCTTTGTGCCTCACTAGCCAGGAGCCCGTGACCACCACGTACCATGATGAGACTGGGATGTGCTTGCCCTTGGTTACCGCTCCAGCCACAGTCTCAGGAACTGACTTTCCTCTTTCTTCCTTGTTCAGGGTCCAGCTGGGGTGAGAGCAGCTCAGGGAGAATAACAAATTGGCTTGTTCTAAAAAACCTCACACCTCAGGTAAGAGCACGGCACTGGAGGGTGCGGATGCACGTGGCGGCCGGGAGAGGAGGTCTCCGGGCTCTTAGTGGGGGAAGGGCTGCCGGGCCTGCGTGGGAGTCGGGGCTGGCAGGGGAGATGGCTTTGGGTCTCAGGCGGGCTCCTTGATGCCCTTGGAGAGCCCTGGTCTGCCCTGTTCAATGAGGCCGTTTTCTGAATGCCTGGGCCACCGCCGTGGAGGCTGGTGTTCGAGCCCACCCTCCTCCCACCCGGAGCGGTGCCTGGATGGGCCCTGCCTCAGGGCCCCGGAGAGAAGACTTGAAGCCACAGCAGCGCCATGGCTACCTCAGGAACTGAGGACAAGGGAAGTGACGCAGGGACGAGAGGCCAGGGAGGTATGGCTCTGGGACCAGTGAACGTGCATACTGGTCCCAGAGCCATACCTCTGTGGCCTCTGGACCCCATCACAGCAGAGAGTCCCAGGTAAAGTGGCACCAGCAGTGAAACATCAGGCGACGAGGAGGACAAGCGTCGCATCCGGGACAGCTTCCCCAGTGTCCTCGCGTCGCGCGGTGCCGCTAACGCACTCGCCCTGTCTCCTAGATCGACGGCTCGACTCTGCGCACCCTGTGCATGCAGCATGGCCCCCTGATAACATTCCACCTGAACCTCCCGCACGGAAACGCTTTGGTCCGCTACAGCTCGAAGGAAGAGGTAGTGAAGGCACAGAAGTCTCTGCACATGTAAGTGGGCTGCTCTGGGCGCCCCCGAGCCCTCCTGCCTGGGGAGCTCGGGGTGAGAGCACCTCCCGCAGCACCCGGTCTGGTGGCCCAGGAAGTCCCCGCACCGCTGCCCTGTGGGGGATGGTTTCGCAGGCCTGTGCTCAGGGAGGGGGGGGGGGGGGTGCTGGGTACCCGGTGTGTCCTGGACACTCGGTGCCACCCGCACTGGAGGCTGTGGGAGCTCCGGCCGCTGGTCCTCACGTGTGCTTCTCCTCCTCAGGTGTGTGCTGGGGAACACTACTATTCTCGCTGAGTTTGCCAGTGAAGAGGAGATCAGTCGTTTCTTTGCACAAAGTCAGTCTCTGACCCCTTCCCCTGGCTGGCAGTCCCTCGGGTCCAGCCAGAACCGGCTGGGCTCCCTCGACTGTTCCCACCCGTTCTCCAGCCGGACTGATCTCAGTCACTGGAATGGTGCTGGGCTGGCGGGGACTAACTGTGGAGACCTCCATGGCACTTCCCTTTGGGGGACCCCCCACTATTCCACAAGCCTGTGGGGCCCTCCAAGCAGCAGTGACCCCCGAGGAATGAGCAGCCCCTCCCCCATCAATGCTTTTCTTTCTGTTGACCACCTCGGCGGGGGTGGAGAGTCCATGTGACAGGTAGAGGTAGACTCGTGACCTCGACCTCAAGACGCAAAGGAAAGGGGCACTAAAAGCTGAGCTCGCCGCCTGCAGCGGGGCGCCTGTGGGAACAGCTCTTCTGCACATTTTCCACTTTGTTTTCCCCGAAACATATCAGTTGAATACTTGAATCATGCAGGCCAATACTATAATGTGAAGGTGTCTCGTTACACTCCCACTGGCGCCATACGTGCTGACCGCGTAGTGAGCTCACCTGTGCGAACTCATCATGTTTAGCCTTTGGGTTCTTTTTTTTTTCTTCTTTCTATTCCCACACCCCCACCCTTACCATTTTTTTTTCCAAAACCATTGTTTGGGCTGATAACATATGAGCTTTTACCTTTGCACTGAATGATGTTCTCTCCGTCTAATCGGCAATATGGGGGGGCAGCTGTTCCGTGTGATGTTTACTCAAGGATGTCCTTAAGGTGTGCGCTCTCTACTATGCCTTGATGTCCGCTACCTTACTGTGTGTCGTGGAGTTGGAGATCACGTTATGATGCTGACTTAGGACGATAAATGAAAGTGTTGCACCGTTTCTTCATGTTCTAAAACTAAAGAATTTCGCTCTGCAGTTTGAAAAACTGTGGCCACAGCTGTGACTTGCAGCCCGCCTGCACCAGGGGCCCTGCACTTTGAACGGGCTTTCCATTTTCTTTTGAAGGCTCTCACGTTGACCTTCTTGTTTACAGATTTTTTTGTTTGTTTTTTGAGAAAAAAAATGTTTACTCTTCCATCATTAAAAAAAAAAAAAAGTAAAAGACAAAAAAAAAAGAAAAAAAAGGAGGATTTAAAAGATGCTTTCTATCTCTGGGAAAGGAGCAGCATTTGGCCATGTTCTTGTTTTCTATTCCTGTCCTAAATCAAAGAGCATGGTTCTCAGGAAAACCGGGTCCCCAGTCAAACAAAAACAAAACCTTGTAGTTTCTTATAGGAAAAAAGGAAACCCCAAGTTTTAGCACTGATACTATGTATTGCTCTGTTAAAGAATTTTCTCTGCCAAAAAAAAAAGAAAAACAAAAAAACGCTTCAAGCTGGAGTTTGACGTTCTGCTTCAGATGCCGTCTTTTTATTAGTGTGATGATGGTTTGCTAATGATCAGTAGGGAATCATTTTTGTAATTCCATCAAGTGGCTCTGTTCCTGCTGTCGTGACTGTGTTATGTCTAATGTTGTACCTTAAAGCCGAAATCAGTAACTATGCATCCTGTAAGCACGGTTTGGGGCTTACAGAGTCGTTCATTGTAGAAAGGAAATTTTAAATGTTGTTGCAAACTAACGAGTTACACCATTTTTACACTTTCTTTCTCTCCTCCCCCCTTTTTTTGCCCACAAATGGTATTATAATGCTTGCTTAGTCACAGGAGAGACTAAACAAGGGTAAAAATTTTAACAGAGAATTTGCCATCATTTCATTGCCTTGATTCTAACTGTTTGTGTCCTATGATGCAAAAGAAGTCAGTGGCTTTTAACTGTTTACAAATAGAATGTGATTGTAAATGTACAGTTTGGTTGTGTTTAATTATGAAATTTCTTCAGATATAATAAACCATGACTTTTTGGCTGCTCAACATCAACTGTCTCTTTTTTGTGAATTTATTTGTACGCTCTTTTTTATAATGAAAGTTTTCAAGTTGCTATGTATGAGGGTTCTCATAGAGCAACCGATTAAAAATATAAGCAAATATTGGAACATTTTAACTGAACTTATCCACAATCTCACCCTGAAACAATGTGAGAACAACGGGAGACGTAGCTGACTCCCGCCTGCCCTCCGCGCCTGTGGGACCTGCTGCTCAGCGCTCCTGTGACTCATCTTCCCCGCCATCCGTGCCCATCGCAGGCCCAGCAGACACGCGGAGCAGGAGGCCCCTGCCCGGAGTGTCTGGTGTGAGCTCAGACCTCTTCCCGCCCCGCGGCCTCCGGCCGGCTGTGCTCGCTGCGCCGGGCTTCGCCGCGGCCACTCGCCGGGTGTAAGCCGTGTTCCGTGCATTCGATGTGTATTGACTTCCACACTGGTTTTTCCAAAAACCAAAGGTAGCTTCGAAAAACCACGTCTGGAAATGTTTGGGACGTCACGCTAACTGACCTTTGGGGCTTTGAGTAGTACATAATTGACTTCATAACTGCGTTAATTGTATCGTCCAAGTGTTTGGGAGTTTTTTGCGCTTGTTATGTGGAAATAAAGTGTTTGATTAAAAAATGAGCCAGTGGTGGTGGTTTTTAAAAAAATTATTTTAATATATTTTATTTATTTTTTACAGAGAGGGAGGGAAAGGGATAGAGAGCTAGAAACGTCAATGAGAGAGAAACACCGACCAGCTGCCTCTTGCACACCCCCTACCGGGGATGTGCCCGCAACCAACGTACATGCCCTTGACCGGAATCGAACCTGGGACCTTTCAGTTCGCAGACTGACGCTCTACCACTGAGCCAAACCGGTTTCGGCCAGTGGTTGGTTTTTGCTTGGTCCTTCAACAACACAGCTCTGCTCCCTAAGCCCCTGGCTTCGCCGAAGCCTGCTTCCGCCTCCCGCCTGCCCACCTGCCCGCCTTCGTCCCACCGGGAGTCTGACGTTCCCAGGGCCTGGTGCAGGGCGCTGGCTGCCCGCAGGAGCCCAGCCCGTCCACATCCGTGCCAGAGCACGGCCAGCCATTCCCGAGGCGCTCCTGCTCCCGCAGCCCGGGGTGCTGGCTCTGACACGCCTCACCCTCGCAGACGCCCCTCGCTGCTCCCGTCGCTAACGTGTCTGGCTGTCCCAGCAGGACCTCCAGGTCCTGTGCCAGGTGACAAGGAAGCTCCTGCTCCGATGCATGGTAGTTGCTAAATATGAGAAGGAAGTAAACTTACCTATTGGCACTTGTGGACCAAAGACGGTGGGTGAGCCAGGGAAGGTGGGTGAGCCAGGGAAGGCGGCGGTGAGCTTCTTGACAGCAGCACAAGTTTCGATCCAGACCGGAGTACAGACTGCGGTTGCATCGAGCAACGTGGCTGTACTGTAGGACCAGAATCAAACCCGGACCTTTCAGTCCGCAGACTGGCGCTCTATCCACTGAGCCAAACCAGCTAGGGCTGCTTGGTTTTCTGTGCATCAAATCATTCTATATAGACTTTTTTCAAAACAACAACAAAACTCCCGTTGCCCAGTCCTGCACTAAAATGTTGAAGTATTCTTGGAAACAGCCCTTTGTTGCATCAATTCTGACGGGAAGTGGCCTCCAAACTCTGGGTGAGAGTGGCCCTCACTTGCTGTGGGTTGAACTAGCCTAGCCCCTGATGGGTTTGGGGTTGCAAATTCCTTTAGAACCACTGCTAGTAAATGGAGAAAGCAGCCACCAGGGGGCGCACAGTGAGTTCCTTTTCCTGGAAGAAGCTTTGAGAAATCCAGTCAGCTAAAAGGGAGGGCAGCAGGCAGGCATTGTAATTAAATCTTTAAAAAACAAAATAGAAAATAGCAAATCAAGTCAAAACCTTTAGTAGCCCTGGCCCACCGGTTGGGTTCGTCCCCTGCACCAAAAGGTTTGATTCTGGTCAGGGCACATGTCGGTTGGGAGCTGATCCCAGGTGGGGGCGTGCAGGGGGCAGCTGATCAGTGCTTTGCTCTCTTTTCCTTCCTCTCTCTCTCAAATCGAAGATATTGAAACAAAAATCTTTGGTAAAGGTCCCTCTTCCAGGGTCAGCAATCCCTGTCCGGGCTCTGACCTGGGACCTCTATTCCGAAGAGTAAGAACATCGGCCGCCGTATTCACAGCTCGTGCCTGCCGTCACTGGAACGTTTTGTCGGCCTCACAGAACCCACACCTGGGGCCTTGCCCACAGCAGCAGCGGTCACCGCAGAGGTGACGTCCACGGCCGGCCTATCTCTAGGGCAGGACACTCGGTACCCTGGCCTCTGCCTCCTCCCTCCGGAGCCCAGGCCCCGCCGCCGCCGCCTCAGCTCAGAACACTCCCCCCTGCTCCTCCTCCCCCTCCCCGCCATCCTTCTGTCTCCGAGTCCCCCTCCTCCCCACCGTCCTTCTGTCTCCAAACCCCCCTCCCCCCCTCCTTCTGTCTCCAAACCCCCCTCCTCCCCCTTCTGTCTCCAAGTCCCCCTCCTCTCCACCATCCTTCTGTCTCCGAGTCCCCCTCCTCCCCACCGTCCTTCTGTCTCCAAGTCCCCCTCCTCCCCACCATCCTTCTGTCTCCAAGTCCCCCTCCTCCCCACCGTCCTTCTGTCTCCAAGTCCCCCTCCTCCCCACCATCCTTCTGTCTCCAAGTCCCCCTCCTCCCCACCGTCCTTCTGTCTCCGAACCCCCCTCCTCCCCCTTCTGTCTCCGAGTCCCCCTCCTCCCCACCGTCCTTCTGTCTCCGAACCCCCCTCCTCCCCACCATCCTTCTGTCTCCAAGTCCCCCTCCTCCCCACCGTCCTTCTGTCTCCGAACCCCCCTCCTCCCCCTTCTGTCTCCGAGTCCCCCTCCTCCCACCATCCTTCTGTCTCCAAGTCTCCCTCCTCCCCACCGTCCTTCTGTCTCCAAGTCCCCCTCCTCCCCACCATCCTTCTGTCTCCAAGTCCCCCTCCTCCCCACCGTCCTTCTGTCTCCGAACCCCCTCCTCCCCCTCCTTCTGTCTCCGAACCCCCCTCCCCCCCTCCTTCTGTCTCCGAGCCCCCCTCCTCCCCACCATCCTTCTGTCTCCGAACCCCCCCCCCCCCCCCTCCTTCTGTCTCCAAACCCCCCTCGCCCCCTCCTTCTGTCTCCAAGTCCCCCTCCTCCCCACCATCCTTCTGTCTCCGAACCCCCCTCCTCCCCACCATCCTTCTGTCTCCGAGCCCCCTCCTCCCCACCATCCTTCTGTCTCCAAGTCCCCCTCCTCCCCACCATCCTTCTGTCTCCGAGCCCCCTCCTCCCCACCGTCCTTCTGTCTCCGAGCCCCCTCCTCCCCACCATCCTTCTGTCTCCGAACCCCCCTCCCCCCCTCCTTCTGTCTCCGAGTCCCCCTCCTCCCCACCGTCCTTCTGTCTCCGAGCCCCCTCCTCCCCACCATCCTTCTGTCTCCGAACCCCCCTCCCCCCCTCCTTCTGTCTCCAAGTCCCCCTCCTCCCCACCGTCCTTCTGTCTCCGAACCCCCCTCCTCCCCACCGTCCTTCTGTCTCCGAACCCCCCTCCTCCCCACCGTCCTTCTGTCTCTGAGCCGCTGGTGCACGTGGGCTTCCCGGCCTGCGCCTAATGGACTGGTGATTCTCTCCCATTAACTGACGTGCAGAGCTCACACAGCAGCCCCGAGGCCGTGAGGGAGGGCTCCGCCCCCCACAGTGATAGGCAGGCGGGACGGGCCCCTTTGGAGGAGGCACAGCCTGGACCCCCCCCCCCCCCCCCCCCACCACCACCATGCAGGAGAGGCGGAGCTGCTCAGACCACAGCCCTCGGGCCTGCGCAGGGCTGGCCACGTCGCTGGAACACACAGTCCCCCCCCCCCCCCCCCCGGTGCTCTCACTGATCTTCCCAACAACCTGACTGACGGGCAGGGACGAAGCAGAGAGGCGAAGTGACTGCCAAGCTGCCCACTCAGCCCCGGGGAGTCAGCTGGAGCCACAGGCCGCTGGCCACGCTGGCCCGGGTGCAGGGACATCGGCCGGCCCAGGCCAGGCCTCCCCCCGGAGCCCGGCTGCTCCCCCTTCTCTCTCTGACAGTCCTCCAGGGGCCCCCTCCGATGCCCCGTGCAGAGCCCTGAGAGGGTGCGGATTCGCTGGCGGGAGTCCTTGTTCCGGCGGGCGCTCTGCACTGACCCGCTGCTCCGGGTGGGTCCGGGCGCTCCGAGCCCACCTGCCGCCGGGCCTGGCCAGACCCCGAGGGCCGGCAGCCCGGGCGCCCCGGAGAGCTGGGCCTCACAGACAGACACAGCGCAGTGTCCTCACTCATTTCAGAGCCGGAGCCACACGTGTTAGTGGCGTCCTCACGGAAACCATCCCTGGCCCAAAGGACTTCTGCAGAGTGACTCCTCCTGTGATCGGCCGACGGCCCTGGCGGCCGGCTTCTGCCTCAGCTCTGCCCCCCCCCCATGCCACACAGCCCCCGTGAGGTGGACCCACAGCTGGAGGGGGACCCACAGCTGGAGGGGGATCCACAGCTGGAGGGGGATCCACAGCTGGAGGGGGATCCACAGCTGGAGGGGGATCCACAGCTGGAGGGAGACCCACAGCTGGAGGGGGATCCACAGCTGGAGGGGGATCCACAGCTGGAGGGGGATCCACAGCTGGAGGGAGACCCACAGCTGGAGGGGGACCCACAGCTGGAGGGGGATCCACAGCTGGAGGGAGATCCACAGCTGGAGGGGGATCCACAGCTGGAGGGGGATCCACAGCTGAGGGAGATCCACAGCTGGAGGGGGATCCACAGCTGGAGGGGGATCCACAGCTGGAGGGGGACCCACAGCTGGAGGGGGATCCACAGCTGGGAGGCGGGCCCACAGCTGGAGGGGGATCCACAGCTGGAGGGAGATCCACAGCTGGAGGGGGATCCACAGCTGGAGGGGGATCCACAGCTGAGGGAGATCCACACCTGGAGGGGGCCCACAGCTGGAGGGGGATCCACAGCTGAGGGAGATCCACAGCTGGAGGGGGGCCCTCAGCTGGAGGGGGGCCCACAGCTGGAGGGGGGCCCTCAGCTGGAGGGGGGCCCACAGCTGGAGGAGGGCCCTCAGCTGGAGGGGGGTCCACAGCTGGAGGGGGATCCACAGCTGGAGGGGGGCCCTCAGCTGGAGGGGGGCCCACAGCTGGAGGGGGGCCCTCAGCTGGAGGGGGGCCCACAGCTGGAGGAGGGCCCTCAGCTGGAGGGGGGTCCACAGCTGGAGGGGGATCCACAGCTGGAGGGGGATCCACAGCTGGAGGGGGATCCACAGCTGGGAGCGGACAGGCGGGGTGAGGGTTCCCTCCGGGTTCCTCCATCTGCCTGAGGCCTCTTGGGGGCGGGGGGGAGGGGGGGCCTGGGTCTGTGAGTGCTGCTCCTCGGGGAGCAGGAAGCAAAGAACCCCAAAAGGCGCAGAGAGGCGGTCGCCCGCTGACCGCAGAGGAGGAGGCTGAGCGCCAGGGCGGCGGGGCTCCCTCCAGAGGCTCCTGGTCCTGCACCTGCCGAGTGGGCGCTGCGCGCCTCCGCCCGCGCCCGCCCGGGGGCTGCTGCCCGGCGCCGTCCCCAGGCGCAGAGCAGCGGGCGGGGCAGCTGGCCTGCGCGG